GGCCAATTGATAGCTCTGTGTGTGTGTGTGTGTGTGTGTGTGTGTGTGTGTGTGTGTGTGTGTGTGTGTGTGTGTGTGTGTGTGTACCTTAAGTCAGACATTGGATCCAGGCCTTAGTGAAAGCTAGTTAACTCTTCCTTGCCTTGGTTCCATAGCCTGCAAACCAGTGGAAGTAATAATACCCACCTCACAGGGCAGTGATGGTTCTATGATCTCCTAAGAGTAGAACTCCCATAATGTCTGGCTTGAGGCCCTGAGTACAAGTCCCAGTACTGGCACAAAATAATAATAATAACAATAATAATAACCAATACATAATTAGTACTCAATAAATATTAACTGAGTGAAGAAATGTTCAAAAATATCTACTAAGGTACCCATTGCTTCCCCTCTCAAACCAGAATTTGTTACTGAAGTCATTTCTCTAGCATAAACATTATTTTTTTTTAATTTAATTTAATTTTATTTGTGAACATACTGTACAGAGGAGTTACAGTTACATGGGCAAGATAATGCGTACATTTCTTACCAAGCATTGCAGCCTCATCCTTTGTTTACCCTTCACATCCCTTCCCAGCCTCCTCCCTCCCTCCCTAATCCCAATCCTTCTCCTTCCCCCCCTCCCCCCTCCCCCCCCCCCCCCCCCCCGCACCAACGTTGTAAAGCTCGTTTTGGACATGACAACTTGTACTTCTCATTGTTGCAACAGGTCCACCTGTATCCTTAAACAACTGGTTTTTCCCCATCTCCTCCACAAGTTATACTGACATCAAATATAGTGAAAGCAGGGGTTATACTGTGGGGGAGGGACATACAAAGCAACAAAGAGATAATCTTATAAATGTGTTAGAAACACATGCATGAAAGAAAAAAACATTAAAATACACATCTAAGGGTTCATTTTCCTGACATCACATTATCTGACCTTTTTCGCTTGACTCATACATATACTAGATATTACAAATAAGGGAAACCATGGGACCTACGTTTCTTTGGGCCTGGCTTACTTCACTTAATATAATTTTTTCCAAGTTTTTCCATTTCCTAACAAATGGGGCAATGTCATTCTTTCTGATGGAGGCATAGAATTCCATTGTGTATATATGCCACATTTTCTTGATCCATTCATCTACTGAGGGGCATCTGGGTTGGTTCCATATCTTAGCTATGGTAAATAATGCTGCAATAAACATAGTTGTGCTGGTAGCTTTAGTGTGGTCTTGTTTGTAAACATTAGGGTAAATGCCCAAAAGTGGGATTGCTGGGCATAAACATTATTTTTAAGTATAGAAAGTTTTTTTCCAGAATGTAACTATGCATGGATGAACATACATGTGCACATGTATGCATGATACCACAGAGGAGCAAGGATTATCTTTTGCAACCAGCTTTGTTTCCTCCCCATCCATCAGTATTCTCAGATAAGCAGTGGGATCCTAAGCTAGAGCAGTGCTCTGGGTCCCTCCAACTCTAGGGCTTCATGGTTGCAGGCTCAGCTCCCAGGAAAGTTTGGAGAGGTGGAGTTTGAGAGGACAGAGACAGAGAGAAGAGAGGTAGACTAAACCATCATCAGTTTTAGGTGGGCAGAGGACAGGATGAGAAAGTGAGAGCTGTGTGAAAAGGTTCTCCAAGAAGTGTAAGGTCTAAGCTATCAGATCACTTATGGTAAGGTGAATTTGAGCCAACCCCCCATCTATTTTTCCACCACGTCAGAGCCTACAACACACCTGCTATCAGATGTGCTACACCTAGGCCTGTGCCAATGCTATCCTTCTATCTTTGCTTGGCTTTCCTAATAAATCTGGAGCCTACCTCCATGTGTTCTCAGAAAAGAAGAAAAAATGTAGTCTAGAGAAATAGCCCGGAGAAAACAGAGAAGGTAGGAAAAGGGTGAACTGAAGGATGAAGACACCTTCTGAGAACCAGCAGGATGATGAATCTAAAGGAGGGCAGTGAGTGGGGATGGTTGTTTGGAGTTCAGGGTGATGAAAACAGACTATAAATAAGGGAGCCCAGAACAGTGTTAATGTCATGTAAGGCACCGTCTGGTTAGACTTGAAAATCTCCTGGAATAACGTCAAACCAAGTTCTCTGAATTTAGGCTGGCCTGAAAGGGAGCCTTGGCTTCTGGTGGTGAATGGAACAGGAGCCTCAAGGCGTTTCAGTGCTAGCAGAACTCAGCCTTTGTTCACAGCAGATACATACACAGCCCAGTGTTGCCCTTATTTAATATTCACAGAGGCTGTAACTATTTAGAAACCTGCCTTTTCCTCTCAGACCTGGCCCAAACCTTTGCTTCAATTGGGCCTGGCCATCTCCATTGCTTCAGGCATAGCACTGCTGGTTGCTGCTGCTCTTAGATTTTAGGTGGACAGCATGGAAAATGCACAGCTTGTGACCACAAGCACTTTCCTGGAAAAGGCTCACCCTGCTGGTATTTGGCTGAATCTTGAATAGCTGTCTTTCTAACTACCTTGGCTAGTGAGATGCTAGGCAAACAAGAGACTGATCCTTTTCATTTCCAGTGGTGGTATGTTGTAATAAGATTTGGGAAGCTTTGCAGTAAACATTGTGTATAAGCCAATATGGAGAATCGATGCATTGAGTATCTGAAAAGAAATTTCTAGTTCTCAAGAAGTTTCCATTCTTTGTAGGTACAAGAAGGAAAATAGCAAAGGGTAAAAAATAATTGCTTGTTTTTTCTGGCAAAGTTCTACTGAGAGTTCATAAAGTCAACCAAGTCCACTGATTACAAGTCAACTGCACCGTACTATACTAAGCCACACCATGAATGGTCATTGTATCAACCTTATTTTTTTTTTACTTTTGTCACATTTATCACATTGGTTGACTACTACTTGAGACTACCAGCCAGATGTCCACTAAGGTATAAGCTCTGAGAACATTGAAAAGTGGTTCATTGATTTGCAAAGTGAAATTAGAATGTAAACTGTAATTATAATAAGCATCCAAAAGATTTTGAAGGTAAATTATTTTCAAAATTCAACAAAAAGGAGAGAACACACTGAATGGTAACAAAAGAAGCATTTCTAAATGGAAGCCTATCACAGCCGCTCTTTTGGCATTTGGTAAAAGGGCACACTGGAATATTAAATGCCCACGTAACTGCAGCCAAACCTTATGGTGAACATTGATAATGAATTGTACTAATCAGAAAGAAAAATACAAGGAGGAAAAACAGCAAGGAATAATTTTCTTTTCTTTTTTTATTGAAGCAAATAATAATTTTATAGAAGGAAAATTCATGGATTTTTTTAACAAGAAAAACAACTTCAAGAGCAAAGTCTATTTGAATTGTTCAAAAGGTCCATTTCTGGGAAAAGTTTTCTTTTTTCCATTTAAATCTCAAGTTGTCACCTCACAGCTTTTAAATCATGTTCCCCTATTTAAGGACAATATTGTACATATGCCATCTTCTTTCAAAACATATCTTCTAGCCAAGCACCAGTGACCCATAATTGTAATTCTACCTACTCAGCAGGCTAAGATTTGGGGATCATAATTTGAAGCCATCCTGGGTAGGAAAGTCCAGGAGATTCTTTTTTCCCAATTAGCCACCAAAAAGCTGGAAGTGGAGCTGTATCTCAAATGATAGATAGAGTGTTAGACCACAGAAGCTCAGGGACAGTGCGCAGGCCTTGAGTTCAAGCCTTAGGATTGGCACCAAAAAATAAGTATCTTCTAATATAATATATATAATACATATCTAATAAATTGTTCATTTTTATTATTGCCAGAGGATAAAATTTTATCCACTTTTATACTTTCAAATTTGATCATAGAAATCCCTGTCTCAAAATTTGTATTGTAATATTTAATAAAAACTAATACCCCATCTTTTCTTTCCTATTTTACAAATTTACTCCTCAAACATGGTCTACTTAAATTTCATTATCCTCCCTTTTCTTCTTGTTGATAATCTATATACTAGATCTTTGTATTCAGTAGTTTCAGAAACACTGGGCAATTGTAACCCTCATTTTCAAACTTGCACCTCAACTTAGGTGCTTCCATAAAGCTATTTTATGAGGATTCCTGTTGGTTTTCCCTGTGAAACATTTGTGTATTGAGTTTGATTGCTCTATAACCTTGAAATTACATGGGTAATTTCAGAAGTGCATTTGAGAAAGCCTGTCACCATGTTGAACAAGTGACTTTCTTTACTCACTGGGAAATGCTTTTATTGGTAACTGAAGTCTACATTTCTCACACTGTGTAAAACTAACAGTGTAATAGAACAGAGTGCATTTCTACCAGCACAATTATGTTTATCATTGCTAAGATGTGGAACCAACCCAGATGCCCCTCAGTAGATGAATGGATCAAGAAAATGTGGCATATTAGAATTCTATGCTTCCATAAGAAAGAATGACTGCCACATTTATAAGGAAATGGAAAGACTTGAACAAAATCACATTAAATGAAGTAAGCCAGATCCAAAAAAACATAGGTTCCAATGGTGTCCCTCATTTGTAATAATTAGTATATGTCTAGGGTAGTCCTAGTAGAGGCTCACAATGGCTCAATAGCTATGTTCATATGACCATATAAAACGATGCTAATCAAAATAAACTCCAAGATTTGGAAACAAGAGGGTTTTTTTGTTTTTTATTGCACTGTGGGTAGTTATTTCTTTTTTTCTTTCATTTTTTCCCCTTTGGTTTTTCCCCTGTTGTCACTGTTTTTGTTTTTGTTTTTTTTTTTTGATACCCTAAGCTTTGTAAATACATTTACAAAGGGAAGAAGAATAACAAAATGGTGAAATAAAGGACAAGGGGTGAACCAATACAACAGCAATACTCACAAGACACCATGTTGGGGAGGAGGGCAGGAGACGGGGAGGGAAAGGAGAGAAAACAAGGGAGGGAGTAACAATGTTTGACAAGAAATGCATTCATTATCTTACTTAAATAACTGTAACCCCTCTGCTATCACCCTTACAATAAAATTAAATTAAACTTTAATAAAAAGAACAGAGTAGCCCGGTGCCAGTGGATAACACCTGTAATCCTAGCTACTCAAGAGGCTGAGAGCTGAGGATCACGGTTCAAAGCCAGCCCAGGCAGGAAAGACTGTGAGACTCTTATCTCCAATTAACCACCAGAAAACTGGAAGTGGCACTGTGGCTCAAGTGGTAGAGTGCTTGCCTTGAGCTGAAGAGCTGAGGAACAGCACCCAAGCCCAGAATTCAAGCCCCACAACCAACCAAAAAAAAAAGCAGAGTGCTTTTGGATGATGAAAATGTTTTAGGTATCGACTGTTTGATTGGGAAGATGCTATTTTGAGTTTTTTAAATGGCATTAACTCAACCTGAGAATGAAACTTTTAATTGTATTTAATTATAATTAAATTGAAGTAGCCATGCATAGCTAGTGGCTACCATTCTAGACAGCATAAAAAAGCTGTCTAGATACTTGTTTCACTAACAATGACCTTTGCTGGTGTTTGCACATTCATTGTGTGGATCTGGTTTTCTCATTTGACTGAGAGTGTAGACTATATGATTTCTAATGTTCTTCACAGTTCAAACTGTCTGACTTCCTCTAGCAACAAACAAGACAATTTTACAATCATCACTAGTACTATCAAAGACCTACATACACATCAAATCTAACAATATAAGCCTTTCATATTACCAATGAGAATAGTCCTGCACATTTGAGCTTCATATAAAACCTTTGATAATCAATGTTATCGTATCCATTTTTCACACAGCAGAAAATACCTTCAGCCCTGAAACTTCCTTTGCACATTTGTGGGTTACATCAAAGCACAGACAAAAGTCTCCCTCTTAAAGGCTCATCTGATTTTTCTCTGCCTTCTTTTCTGTGTCCTGGAAAACTCCTCTTCACCATGTCTCTGAACCCTCTTACAACAGCAAGCATAATGTATTGGGTTTTGTGTTCAGTTTTTTTGTTATCTCTTTTCCTAATAGATATTAGAATGCTTCTTGCAGTGGCAAGTGTCAGTTGTCAATTGTCAATAATTCTTCACTTCTTAGAGGTATCCCTGGCCTGGCCAGTGTTGAGACCAAGATAGCAATAATGCCAGTTAACATTTCCTGAGAACTCATTATGTCCTAGGCATTGTGCTAAGTAAGGGATTTACATCCTCCCAAATTCTATGAGGTACTAATATTAGAATCCTGCTTAAGAAATGTATGACAAATGAACAAGGAGCCGGGCCAGGGAGTTGAATTTTTTCCTGGAGTTTGTCTTATTCATTAAAAACTAATGAATTTATCAGAAGCCTTTTTCTATGGTGAAAAGGCCTAAGCAGCAATTTGCCTTCACTGCAAAACATATGTGATACCTATTATGTGTAACAACTAAAAGCTGAAAGAGCAGAGCTGCAAGCTGTAAAGAACCTGCATTCCATTGCTGGCATCCACACTAGGCTGGAGTTAATTGGTTACTCTATTTTCCAATACTTTTCACTTTCAGCAACTGTCTTCATCAACTAGGGTGCTGCTGAATTTGGGTGCAGTTATCTCAGGTAAATGACATGATCACAATCCAAGTAAGATCTACAGGTTTATTTTGATTTATAGTAAGCCTGCCTTGCATGCAATTTTCACGAAGAGCAGTCAAATACACATACACACACACTCCGCAGCTCCGTTGGTGCAGGGAGCTCTCAAATTTTATTGTCAGTTGTGTTTACATTGTTGTATGATCCGCTGAGGGATTCTCTGTCCTTAATCCTGTGAAAATCTGCCTCCTGAAAAGCAGATGGTACCCCAAAAGCAAGATTAAAGTTCATGTGCTAATATATAGTGATAAAGTGAAATTTTTAGATGTGCTGAAATATCTCTTCTGTCTTCATGGAATTGGGGGACATTATGGGGAAAATTAACCAAGCATCCACAGGACTGACTGAACTTTGTGTATCCAGAACATTTCTGGTGTTCCCAATAGTGGTCTCTTTGAAGCATATGCCTGTAGATACCAAAAGCCTACTGTATCTTACAGCAAAACAGATATTTTTAGTGAATATTTTTCATTCAAAGTTCATACATACGTAATTAGACTTTCTCTAAGGTCCTTCCACTAGAGCATAAGCTTCTTGAGGGTTGGGATTTTCTCTGCCTTGTTCATCTATGCATGTCTCCCCAGACCTTAGGTCAGCTGTTGACATAGAGATATTCAGCCAACATCTGTTGAGCTGTGAGCATGTGGCTGCACTGTGATCCTCTAAACCACTGATATTTTGGCACAACTTCGCTTGTTTTAAAAATGTTTTATTATGTATATAAAGTATTCCTGGGACATGGAACAGAAAAGCACATATACAAAATCTGAAGTGTTTAGAAAATTGTTATATGTCAATTATTTACAAGATAAAGATTTTTCTTTTCTAGATCATAGCCAGAGAGTGGGTGGTGTGGGTATAGGTATAGGTGTGTGTGTGCCTGAGATAAAAAGAGATAGAGAGAGAGAGAGATTTTAAGGGAATAATAGTACAATTATGGGGAGTGTCAAGTCTTAAATGTACATGACAAACTGGCAGGTTGGAAAGTCCAACAAGACTTAATGCAAAGGCAGTCTGGAATCGAAATTCCTCTCTCCAATATTTCTATTCACTTAGGCTTTCAACTAATTTTTTCAAGCCCATCTATATTCTAGAAGGTATACAGATATGTATTCATGTATGTACATATATATACATATATATATTATATACACTCTATAGATAGTAAGCATATATTTAGAAAGTGAGAGAGAGAGAAGTTGGTCTTAACAAATTAGCTCACACTATACCAAAGGCTTACAAGTTCCAAGATCTTAGGTCAGCTAGCCTGAAACCCACAATGGCTAAGGTATAATTCCAACTAAAAGTCCAAACTAAAAATTAAAAGGGTCAGTCATGGAAGTTCTGAAAACTGGTCTTACCAGTCTGAAAACTGGTAAGCTCAAAACCAAAGAAAATACTGAACTGGAAGGAGAGCAGATTGCTTTACTCAGTCCAGTACCAATTCAAATGTTACTGTAATCCAGAACATACCTTACCATTATTGTACACAGAGTAATGTTCACTGAAATGTATGGGTGGCAGTAGCCTACTAAAGATGACACATAAAATGAACCACCACAGAAATAATTTGTTCTACTGAAAGTCTACTGCCTTGAATGTTAATTACATTGAAAAACAAACAAACAGAAACCTTCATAGTAGCATGGAGACTGATATTTGGCTAAACAGCAAGGCACCATAAGCTAGCAAAGTAAACACATTAAATATCACACATATTTGCATATGATAAAATACATCTATTCCACTCTTCACTTCCTGTCATGATAGACTAGGTTTCTTTATTCTAGTACTTTCCATAAGTTGAGTCATGTATTGTGACTACATTTTTTTCCCTGGGACTAGAGATTAAATTCAGGGTCTTGTGCTTGTTCAGCTTACTTGACTGGCCTTTTATCACTTGATTCATGCCTCCAAGCCTGCCTTTTTCTGGTTAACTAGAAATGGAATCTCTCAGACTTTTCTGCCGAAGCTGATCTGGAACCTTAATCCTTCTGATCTCTGCCATTTGGATACTATTGTTGTTACTACTGTTGGGTGTTTTGTTTTGTTTTTTTTTTTTTAATGTTATAACATATTCCTAATACAAATTTACCAACTTAGCTATTGTTAAGCATGCACATGGCATTCAGTACATTCACATTGTTATATACCCACTACCACTATATATCTCCAAAACTTTTTCCTTTTGTCCAACTGAACCTTTTTACCCATTACACACTCATTTTTATTCTTCCCTTTCTATGGCCTCTACTAACCAATACTCTGAATCTAGGTACCTACAGTACCTATTTCCTTTTTAGAGCCTGACTTATTTCCCTTACTATAATGTCCTCAAGATTCATTCATGCCACAGCATGTGTCAGAATTTTTCTTTTTTCTAAGATTGGATGATATTCCATTGCATATACCATTCTTCTTTCACTAGGATTTTTGTGCCTAGCTGTTTTGGGGGTTTTTTTTCACTTGGCACAGTGCTTTTGGAGTTCCCTCATTTTGCCCATGTGTCTATACTAACTTCTTCAGATAATTCTAATGATTCTAGAAGTCTACTGGCTAAATCTGTGCAGGGATATCAAAATTTTCAAACAAAATTGTCTTTTGTGTTCTACTGTGCATGTATTTGCTGTTCTGTATTTCTTTGGCTAAAGGACCTCCATCACTTTTGGGCCTGATGCATGGCAAGGGCAAAGGATGAGTCACAGTAGTAACTTACAGTTTTTTGGCACTGACCATTGACAGCACCTGTTCTTGTGCCCTTGAGTCATGTTATCTTCTTAACAGCCTTTTACGTATCATTGTCTCCACCTTACCAATAAAGAAGTCTAGGCAGTGAAGGATTGTGACGTGCCTGAGATCTCACAACTAGCATGAAGCAAAAGTGTCATTTGAACCTAATTCTTCCAGCCCAGACTCAGTGCTCACATCTTCCTGTGCTGTCATGTGAAGGGCTCAGTGTTCCCATCACAAATATTAACTCAAAAGATTAGGATACCCATAAATGTCTGAAGTAATTTGACAGCTTTGAGTCCTAAGAATTCTACAATCCTCTAGAAACTACTTTTAAAATGGAAATGCTGAGGAGAGAAATTAGAATTACAATCAATTCATCTATTCATTACAACTCATTCACTCATTCATTTATTCAGAGTAGTAAATATAACTGCCATGGCTGGTTACTGGTGGTTCATGCCTAGAATCTAGCCAGTCAGGAGGCTGAGATCTGAGGACCAGAGGTTTAAAGGCAGGAAAGTCCCTGAGAATCAAGTCTCTAACTAACCACTAAAAAAAGCAGGGAGTAGAGCTGTGGTTCAAGTGGTAGAGTGTCAGCCTTGAGCAAAAAAGCTTAAGGGGACAGCACCCAGGCACTGAGTTCAAGACCAAAAACTCCCACTCCAATAAACCCTGCCAGATACTGAATCTAAACCATGTCCTAGGTTCTCTGCTGGTTTCCTCCACACGCCATATTCCTTACTTCATGTTCAGAAAAGCCTTTAGATGTTGTTATTATCCCAATGGTATGAGAGTGATGAAGTGACTTTTCTTTTAAACCCCAGCCATGCCTGCCTATAAAGACTGCTTTCCCATGCCCTGCAGTGCTGCCTTTCACTACCCTCTTCCAAGAAGATTCTAAAGGAAAACACCGAGAGGCCAAGGAACCAGGGAAAGGGGCCAAGCTACACTTCTTGTATAAGTTTTGTGTGTGTGTGTGTGTGAAAATACTGTACAGAGGGATTACAATTACTTGGGCAAGATAATGAGTACATTTCTTATCAAGCATTGTAGCCTCCTCCTTTGTTTCCCTTTCCCATCTCTTCCCATCTCCCCTCCCCCCCACCCAACCCTCCTCGCCCCCCCCCCCACCAAAGTTGTAAAGTTTGTTTTCAACATAACGACTTGTACTTCTCATTGTTGCAATGGGTCCACCTGTATCCCTATTTAAACGATTTGTTTTTTCCCTTCCCCTCCACAAATTATACCAACATCAAATACAGTGAAAGCAGGGGTTATACCATGGGGGAGGGACATACAAAGCAACAAAGAAATAATCTTATAAATGTGTTAGAAACAATCACATGAAAGAAAAAAACTTTTGAATACATATCTTAGGGTTCATTTCCCTAACATCAACTTAACTGACCTTTTCTGCTTGACTGAGACATATACTAGTTAGCTTGTATTGGAGTATGTGAATGACTTGCTATAAAAAAAAAATACACAGAAAGGCTTCTCTTGTTTGTTTGGTTTTTAGTTTTACTAGCTTTTTAAATTATACCTTTCTAAATGCTTTGCTTGTGCAGAAAGTGTGTTTTGTAGTTTTTTTCTTAGTACAATCCAGGGAATGTTTCTGAAACTGTTTCAGGCCAAATACCCTAAGGAACTGATGATAATATTAATTGTGGTGAAGAAAGAACAAAAATATAAGATGCACGCTGCTCTTTGATTAAAGCTTCCTAGATAGAATTTCACCTCAGGAGCTTTGTTATTTTAATGGCCTCCTATAGGTGTTATTCTGAGTGGTCTCTGAGGGGTTTGTTTCCTAGTTTTTTGGAAGAGTGTTGTCAGCTCGCAGGCTGCATGAATTTCACTTCAAAAGAAAGCCTGGGTGATTTTTCTATTTCTGAATTTTAGGGAAGAGTCAAATAGAGCCAAACAGACCATCATGTTTTGTCAGTGGTCCACAGGAAACGCTGGTGGTTGGTCTCTGGTGAAATGCTGCACAGTGATTTTTTTACCTTTGCAGCAGCACTCTCCCTGACCTGTGCAAAGTGATTCCTCAGGAAGACTTCCATTTTGGGTGACAGTGATGTCATTTATCCTTCTATCCTGTAAGTGCTTTAAATAGCAATGAGCGTGTGCCATCAGGCTCCGTTTCTGCAATAAAAGTCTACCTCGTTCCTGATTTCTTAAAAATTGCCTTAGATGTAGATGATGCCAGAAATAGAGTGCCTTTTGATCTTGCTGAATATTTAATAACCGTGAAAGAGTAAAACTGGAGAAAACTAAAATGCCACGATTTTTTTTTTTGGCTGAACCAAGATGGTTTCGTATATTTAAAACTAATTTTAACATTTTATCCTAAATTTTACAGCTGATTTTTTAAGGATATTTAAATAATTTAAGGGTGCACTTTTAGAATTGTAGGCATTGGTAAGGTACATGCTGCTGTAAAACCTAAAGTTTCCAGAATATGTATACTTTTCCCATTTGAAAAAACACATGAAGGAACATGAGTATGATAGTGAATACCTGTAATCACGGCATTTGGGATGCTAAGGCAGGAAAACTGCAAGTTCAAGGTCAGTCTGAACTATGTAGCAATACTTTGTCTCAGAAAGAAAAAAATAAAGGAAGGAAAGAAGGGAAGGAAGGAAGGAAGGAAGGAAGGAAGGAAGGAAGGAAGGAAGGAAGGAAGGAAGGAAGGAAGGAAGGAAGGAAGGAAGGAAAACATGATATTCTTCATATGCAATGCTAGAAAGCTAAAATATTCTTTCTAAAAATACCTCAACTTTAAAAGTGTTTTCAATGTTTAAAGAAGAAATAAAGCGATATAATTTATTAACAATATTCCCTTTTATATATTTCAGTGGAATATCACATCTTTCAGAAAAAAATCAATTACCTTTTATTTGCTTTCTCAGACTGAATTTAGTGACAATTTGAGCTATATTAACTTATATCTTACTTGCCTCATACAATTTCTAGCAAAAGTAGCTACTGTAGCAAATTGTGTATGTGATATGACTAAGACACGCCCGATGGACCAAGTTGTGAGATTCTGCATCTAATTTACTCATTTTATAGAATGTTTTCTTTACTACCAATAGGGCATTTTCTGGCCAAATGGTCCAAAACAATGTGAGAAATCGATAGTTGATGGTTAATAATAGGGTCCCTCTATCTTCCAAGAGAGGAAGGGATTCAGTTACATTGTCTCAAATGTACCAAGAAGGAGGGATAATAAAGTTAAAACTTTGTGATTCTCTCCACTATCTGGCCATACTCTGCATCTGCACGTATCATTAATAAAACAGGACAGTCATGAATGGAGAGAGAAAAGCTGGGTAAATATATGAATTTTATTCAATATACTTGTGTGAAAATGAATCCAGGTAACTTGAGGAGATGGGTAGGGCTGAAAGGGATGGGGGAGGACAGCAGAAGGGGTAATATTGATCAAGATGTATCGTACTCATAAATTATTATGTTGAATTAAAACCCCTTTGTAACTACTTAGAGATAATAAAAGAATAAAATCTAAAATATTCTTTCAAACAAGCAAATCAGCTGGGCACTAATGGCTCACAACTGTAATCCAAGCTACTCAGAAAGCTGAGATCTGAGGATCACAGTTCAAAGCCAGCCCTGACAGGAAAGTCTATAAGACTCTTATCTCCAATTAATCGCCAAAAAAGCTGGATGTGGAGCTGTAGTTCAAGAGGTAGAGCCCTAGCTGTGAGCATAAAATTTCAGGAACAGCACCCAGGCCCAGAGTGCAAGCCCCAGGACTAGAAAAAAAGACTCCAATCACACATAGGAGGGGCTTCTTTAAAATCTAGGGGGAACTCTAAATCTGTCTACACCTGTGAAGTAAAGGAGGAGCTATCTAACTCTTGACTTTCACTTTGAAATTATAAAAGTCTGGAAACTCTTCAATACTGAAAGAAGGAAAGACACATCTGGCAAAGGGAACTCCTGAAGGCTACCTGGATTAGGGGTAGAACTTGCTTGTCTTACCTACCCAGAACATTGTCGTAGGATTTGGAGTTGCTAGACTGACATGATCATGTGTGTTCTTCCAGATCAAAAAATATAAAAGCTACATATAGGAGCTGCCATTGGAGTCTTCAACTCCTGTTTCCTGCATGCGAAGCAGGAAATATTTATTTCTCTTTTTCCTATTTCTCCCTGCAATATTCTTGTTATACTAAAAAGAAAAAAATTCTTGCTGAAAGGTCTATCTTGAAGAGATGTGCTTACTAGAAAATTAAACCAGAATAATGGAAAATACAAGCTAGAATATTTCCAAAATGTATTTACTTCAGTGTCCCTCAGATACAAACAAAAAACAAAAGTGAAGCACAAAAGTTTCAGGTTTTATTTCAGTCTCCTATATTGACAAACACCAGAAAATAGGTATTGTTAGGCACAGCACTTCTTGTAAACTCTAAAGACTGAGAGAAAGGAAATAAATTGATAACTAAGCTCCAGGAGTTTTGGTCTGGCCAACATGCATTCATGATATATTCTTCATTCCAGTGGTTCTATCCCCTCCAGGGCAAGGTAGGTATTAGCTGGGCAAACTGCCTCTTGGTAGGATAGAGTTGTTAAGGATTCTTTCAGCTTTTACCTCAGGCGTACAAAGTCAATGTCATGGTGACCATGGCAGACACAAAGGAAGCAGCTGATAACTTTATCTGATGCTTGAAAACAAATTACAAGCAGTAAAAACAACTGCTTCCTGAAATATTCTTACAATTTCACAGGGTTGTGCAATTTTGGGGGGGAGGTTTAGAAAAAAGAATATTTTTGGAGTTGCCACATATATAATAAGTTGCTATATATATGATAAGTTGCTACCTTTCTAGAGTAACAGTTTGCACTTAATGAATCTGTGTATCTTACAGGGTATGGGCATAGACAAGGATATACCCATCTGTCTGAAGAAAATTCGGGCTGGGTTTCTGACCGCTGTGTAGCCATCAGGCCATAGGTTTGCATCCTCAGTGGCATATTGTGACAACTGCTCATAGTGAAGTAGTAACAGTGATGGAGATTTGACTTGTTAGAAACAAGGAAGGGATCTTGAATGTCAGGCTAGAGAATTTGGATTTTATTTTTTATTTAGCTGTAGAATAACAATTAGCTTTTAGTTTTAAGTTTCTTGATACTTTTTGGAGATTTTTTCTCTTACTTCTCTTTTAGTCAGACAAATCCTGAATGGATTGTAGATATCAAAATCTAAAAAAAAGAACCTCAAGCCATTGACCTTTGACTCCATCTTCTCATTCCTGCAGTGAGTATCCTAGACTAGAAGGTTTTTTTAATTGTCTTCAGATTTGGATTTTCAAATCTGGGCAGTATAAATACAGTGTTATGTACATGCACTTGACAATAACAAAAAAAAAAAGGAAACTTCTTTTTACCAGTGTAATAATTCAATATTTAAAGGTAAACATTACTACAAATCAGGGGCTCAGTTTATCAAGTGCTACAGTCTTAGGCAAGCAATGGTAATATTATGACCTAACAGTTATCGCTCTACATTGAACCTCTGTCTTCACACTTTGTCTTTGACAGAGGTAGGGAATGTGAACAGGGGAGAAGCTTCATTTTCTCTTCACATTATGTTGTATTTATAACATACGTGAAACTGAGGTTTGCCTTAAACATCCTAAGTGTTCCTTCTAATCTTGAGTTAACAAGGATTGTCCTAAGTTTAAAAGGGGAAATCAGAGAAAGCTAACAGAAATACCTAAATACCACAACATTCCAACTGTTGAAAATTTCAACTGTTGATCACTAGTTGAAATTGACTTCCATTGAAGATTTCCCAATACCTTCTTTCTTGGCCTAGAACTGTGTAGTAGTTCTGAAATACAGACCTACTTCGTAAAGGCAAAGATGGTATCATTTAAAATGATGTCTTTCCTTGACATTGGTGGCACATATCTGTAATTCTATTACTCAAGAGGCAGTGGGATAAAGAATTACAGGCCAACACAGACTATATGTAGAGAGTTCTACACCAGCTTGAGCTATATAATAAACCCTGTCACAATACAAATAAATAAAAGTTTAAAAGATAAAGCTAAAAATTTTACCTCCTGCCTCAGGCAAAATCTGAAGAATAGACATTCACTAAATGATGTCACAGCTGAAGGAATTACTACATGTGCAAAAGATGAACTATTTAGGCACCACCCAAAAATCAGCCTTGGAGGAGAGTGTGAATTCCTCATAGCATCTTCATGGTGCTTTAAGTCAAGACATGACTCTAAGGGCTCATCAGACATTCTGAAAACTAGCAGTAACAAAATGGATGGTCAGAGTGGCAGGGAGCCTAGTTGGAAGCTTGCTTTTTTTTTTTTTTTTGGTCGGTCGTGGGGCTTGAACTCTGGACCTGGGTATTATCCCTCATCATTTCAGCTCAAGGCGAACGCTCTACCACTTGAGCCACAGCTCCACTTCCAGTTTTCTGAATGCTTTTTATTGGAGATCAGTGTCTCATGGACTTTCCTGCCCAGGCTGGCTTTGAACCATGATCCTCAGATCTCAGCCTCCTGAGTAGCTAAGATTACAGGTGTGAGCTACCGGTGCCCAGCTGGAAGCTTTCTTCAACAAACCAGCCTTGTCTCCAGGAACAGAGCTTAGTGCCTAGGCTAGACCAGGGAGGAGCCACGGCTCAAGAAATCGAGAAACAAAGGCACAGAAGATAGCAAGGGCAGGACTTCCAGAAGGAAGAGGTAGAACATGTGGTCAGAACTAGCATCTAACACTAATTCAGTCCTCATTCATTCATTATAATACATATCTATAGTATTTATTGTATTACCATCTTCAGAATGTGATTTAATAACAATCAAGTAAAATATATAATAATCATCTTTAAATACAATTTCTTTTTGACACATAAAAATTCACCTGTTTATGTTATATTTCAATTGTGTATCATCATTTCTGTGTGTGTGTGTGTGTGTGTGTGTGTGTGTGTATGTGGAGATGGAGAGAGAGAGACATTGACATAGAACTGAGGCTTAAACTCAGGGTCTCTCATTCTCCCTGGTCTTTCTCACAGCTGACACTCTACCACTTGAACCACTCCTCCAGTCCTAATAAACAAAATTTTGAAAATACACATTGAATTCCTTTAGTTTGATGATTATAATTAGATAATTAAATAGGTATATATATACATATACACATTGAATTACTTTCCAAAAGCTATGGCATGTCTATTTAAGGCATGTCTATAATAATAAAACATTGCAGATGGCTTAACTATTCAAATACAATGGTCAGTATAAAAATGAGTTTATTCATGAACTAATATTATATGGCTATAAAATGATTTGTCAACATTTTAATATGTTATCCTGAGGAAAAACTGAGGTAACGAATCACTAGTATAACATTTTTAATAAAAAGAAATTTTCATCTATTTATAGAGAAGGGTTTAGAAAATATGAACCAAGATCTTACCAGTACTTCCTGTTGGGCAAGTAGATTGGTCCTTGTCTTGATTTCCTAGTATCTTTTGGTTTAATTTCTCTGTACACAAAAAATAAAGGAATTAAGAGGAAATAAATTCTTCCTTGAGGCACAAAGTCACAGAAAGGATGCTATGTGGGAGGTGACGTGGTTGTAGATATCCTAAGGTATGGGTTCATGCCAGTATGTGTTAGCTAGAATGAGTATAACCACATTAACTGCCCTCTCATGGAAGTTTCTGTTTCCAGTGTATTTAAACAGCTTACAACATTGTTATATGGTATATGAGCCGTGGATCAGAGCAGTATTACAAAAATAATAAGAGTAGTTTTGCTTGAAGAATTTTAACTTATTTTAAAGTGACTGAATCCCCATTTATAAGTGTGAAGTACATTAGAGTTTGAACACTTTTTGTTTCCTTTTAAATCTACATTAATATTTGGCTTGCTGCTCACAGGAAAGCAATTCGGCACCAAAGGTGCAATTTTTCTTCCAGAATGCTAAAATCAATTTAGCTCTTTGGCTTATAGTAAATGGTGATTTATATTTCCAAATGCCAAAATTCCTGCAATTATAGGTATATATTAGTGAGACTTCCAGGAAAAAAAAAAAAAAGATATGTTAGAGCTCTCTATTTAATTCTTGGAATTCAAGCCCTGAAGGAAAAGAACAAAAAAAATCTATTGCCATCTCTCAATTTGTAAAACCAACTTGACTGTTGCTTATATTTTCAGAGAGGTTTTTATTTTTTTCTCTGGTATCTTTTCTCCCCTATACTAAATATTTTCATACTCTTTCCTGGAAAAAAATTACAGTTTGCCTGTGTCTACAAGAAAAGTTCTCAGAATATGTCTAAGTCATTATGTCCCATTCTTTTCTAAAACCAATTGAAGTGAGAAAAGTGTAATCATATAAAAGGTAGTTGCTCCCATGTACCTTTCACTCATTGTATGAAACACATAGTAAATTAATATTTCAAAAATGTATATTAAAAAGATGTCATATTAGCTTATAGTTACACATGAAAGTCACCATGGTATGGTAGAAAGAATACAGATACTGGAATCAAAAAAAAATTAATTTCAAGACCTACTTTGGTCATTGTCAGTATGAATATGGTGTCACTTTCTTCATCTGTTTAGGCCTAAGTGTCTCCTATTTAATATGAGGGTCTT